TTTCAGCACTCCAACTGCTCTGGTTGCAGAGTTACGTCAAATTTCACGTGTTCGTACGTGAGTGGCGACGTGAGTGCCTTCTTCACCCAGGTTGTTCAAACACGGTCCTGGGTAGCGATCAGAAAGTTTCAGCACTCCAGCTTCTCTGGTCGCAGAGTTACGTCAAATCTTACGTGCTCGTAAGTGGGTGGCAACGTGAACGCTTTCACCTCCTGCAGTTGGTCAAACACGGTCATGGATAGCACTCAAAAAGTTTCAGCACTCCAGCTGCTCTGGTTGCGAAGTTACGTCAAATTTTAGGTGTGCACACGTGTTTGTACGTGAGATGTAGAAGGGCTGACAAGTAATTTACTTCCACGGACACAACAGTGGGCATCAAGTAACGCTACAAAATTGCAGCTCTCTGCAGTTTACTGATCACCTTAAATTTGGAATTGGCATGATGCCAGCTTAAACTTTGACGTGTACGTACGTGAGTCTTAAGAGTGCGTGAAGACTGAATTTGAAATCTTTAGATTAGATATGGTCAATGAACAAATCTGTGAAGTTCCAGCCCCTAGCATGGGCCGTTCCCGAAAACGCTTTCCCGCCAAAAAAACTTTCACGTGCCCCTACGTGAGAACCACGCGGACCTGAGCGTCCGTTTTGAGGATACGAGCCCGCACGTATGTCTAGATTAAGTCACGAAATTTTCAGTCTTGTAGCTTTTGTGGGTCTCGAGATAAAAACTCGTTACAGACGCACACACAGACACACACACACATACATACACACAAACAACCCCTCGACAATATGCGTTTTTGCATTGCACAGCTGCAAAAACGCATAAAAAATCAACTCCGACTAAAAATATTAGTTTTAATTAAACAAATACTGGTTCCAACAATCAAAAGGCGAAAAAATGCTAATAAAAATTGGTCACACATAAAAGCAATTACAAGTGAAAAAAAAAAAAAAAACCAAAAAAGAAATTACACTTTTACCAGCTACAATTCATAGAGTAGCTCTTTGGCTAAGTAGCTGGCAGCTTTCCTATTCGATTTGACCAATGCTGCATCGCCCCGCGGTTGGTCTGCTGGCGTTCCTGACTTTTTCGCCTCATGTAGGGATTACCAGCTCAGCGGTTCTTACAACGAAGCACCTGGCAAGGCTTTAGCCATTTCGTGATGTCAGTGGCATATACTGAACATTACAACCTCTTCCCGAATGTCGTCAGTATGAACGACTAAGAAAAGCAGCAAATGCTCAAAAAAAGCAAGAATTTTAAATAGAGCTTACAGTGTGGAAAGCACCGATAAAAAAACACAGTTCGCATAAGAAAATTGAAAAAATTTGCTATTATTCGTATGAGTATAAAATGGCTGTATTGTGAATGAAAAGTTGTTTACCTCCAGGACAACAGACCGTTGTGTCGGCGTTACCACCAATATGGCACCAGTAAGCTTGTGGACATAAATATGAATTTCGCTCATAGCATTTCGGCAATGTGAGAAGATTAGCTGCTGCGCCTTCCGATGGGCACGGGTTTCGCAGAACTAAACTGAATTTTTTGCAGAATTTGCATTTAAAAAGGCTTTGGGTCACATTTAGTTTGAAACAAAGCACTGCTGAAAGTACAGAACAAATCTTTCTTTTGACATTTCAAGTACAAAGGCAGTACATAAAATTATTATTTTTTATATCACTTTGTTTCTTAATACAGCACTATATTAATGCACTCACTAACGGATTGTGACAGGTTTATGCAAAGCCTAAGACTCAAGGCATCGATTCAACTTTTCCAGAAAAGCCATTCCTTTTAATATGACTCAATGACCTGTTTCGATATTCGGTTAGCACCAGTACGCTAGGAAGTTAAATTGCCCTGATCTTTCTTTTTTAGCATCCAACTGACGAACTTGGGCAATTTACCGCTCAGCATTTGCTACTGGCAGAGTACAGCTTTTGTAGGCACTTCCGAATGCCGCCGCTTCGCAACAAAAAAATAACCCGGGTAGCCAGGGTTGCAAGCCCGATCATGTGCTTTTGCGCAGATTTTGAAGCCATTAGACCGTTAATAGTATGAATGATTATTGCCTTACAGTCTACCATGTGTACCCACGTTGGCAAAATTTTGGTCTTTTTTCTGCTTTTGGTGAGAAAGAACGTCGGTCAAAGGCTGGCACAGTAACGTTGGAACATGGAACCGTATAAAATCTCAATAACGAACATGCAGGACCACAGTGGCGAGTTGTCGGCAATTTTGCACCATCAATTTCGCTATATTGGTACATTAGAGGCTTAGGCATTTGTGAAAGATGCTTTTAAGGTTTTAGTGGCGCACAAAGTACGCCAGCATTCTGAAAAAAATTCTGCTTTCTTGGCTATTTGATTACCAAGAAAAAAGGACGACTAAAATGTTGCATTTCGAACATTTGACGAATCCGTGCGCAGGGAGGATTTAAAATCACAAGCCCATTTTTTTAACACTTACAAGCTTACACACGAAAAGTGAATCCCCTACAGAATCACAGCTTTGTACCCCCTCTGGTTGTAGAGTTAAATGGCACCAAGTTGTCCAAAACTGAATTTTTAGTTGTGCACAACACAAGATCTAGAAGTGTCTCGAAGCTGAATTTAAAAATTTCAAACACAAGTGAGCAGAGGAAATCCCTCAATTCCAGATTCCTATTTTGAACGACTCCCGAATCGTTTTTCATTTTAAATGTCTTCGCCGTACCTTCATGCGTGACGCTAGCGTAATCAAAAAATCACTGGCGACGCGCACTAGACGAGCCTGCGCGATCATGCGTTTTTGCAGTGTTTCGTGCTATAATAAGATCATTCGAAATTTCGCTAGCTAGAAACCTCTTGTACATACTGGTCCTCGAGTTTCAGGAAGTTAATCATCCCTTCTATACTTGGAAAGGGAACATCCCCTTGAAATCCCAGGTTCCCACCTTTCTCAGTTCCCGAGTTACCCAAATCCCAGCCGAAAAATTTCATGGGGCTGTACGCGGCAACCACGCACAACGGGGGGCTGGATTTGAAAAATTTAAGTTGTAGACGAGTTGGGAACATTTCCTGAAAGTTCCAGCCTCCCAGCTTCCCTGGTTCCGGAGTTAGCCATTTTCCCGCCAAAATTTTTCACGGGGCCGTACGTGGCAACCACGCATAATAGGGGGCTAAATTTGATAAATTTAAGTTATAGATGAATTGAGAACATTTCCTGAAATTTTCATCTTCTCAGCTTTCTTGGTTCCCGAGCTAGCGATTTTCGCGCCAGGAACCTTCACGAGGCCGTACGCGGGAAACGCGCACACCTGGGGACTGAATTTAAAACCTTTGAGTTCTATATGGCCGGGGAACATAATCCCAAAATTTCAGCTTTCTAGCTTTTCTGGCTTCCAAATTAATAATTTTCCCGCCAAAACTTGGAGGCGGTCGTACGCGGGGCCTGGACGTGCTTGAGAATTGGTATCGCGGTCCTGGGGTGGCACTTGGCCGGGGAACCAATTCGCAAAATTTTGGCGCCGAAGCTTGCTTGGGTGTCGCGTTGAAATAATAACATGCGTTTTTGCATATAAGCAAGAACGTATAATTAATTCAAGCTACAGGATTTATCGTATGGATGATAAATATCTTCGCAAAATTGCAGCTGTCCTTTCCGGCGTATTTTGCGAGGTGGCACGACAACAAACTTTGACCTGTCTGTACGACTGACGCAGCAGTACACGACTGCGGAATTCGAAACATTTAACTCACATTACGGCGGAGAATACCTTTGTGAAATTTCAGTTTTCTATCCTGTTTTTTTCTCGAAATCGTTTTCCTGCCAAAATTTGTTCAATTTTCCTTCGTATGTGAGAAATAGGCCTATATGAATGCCGATTTTAAAACCAGCGGTTAGAGTGGGAGCATGCTTCTAAAATTCCAGCTTTCTGG